TAGATGTGTGCCTTCATTTTGTTAGCAGATACCTAGCAGTGGGATAGCTTGGTTGTGTGCTAGATATATGCTTACATTTTTGAGAAAGTATCAAATTGTTTTCCAACATGGTTACACTATTTTTAAGTATTATTCTTACCAGCTATGTATGAGAGCTCCAGTTGTTCCACAACTTCACCAGCACTTGGTATAGTCAGACTTTTTCATTATAGCCTTTCTTGTGGGTATAAAGGATCAGCTCAGTTGTGGTTTAAACCCAATGATTAATAATTTTGAGCATCATTTCTTTTGCTTATTTATCATCATATAAATTCTTTGGTAAAGTGTTTTAATATTTTGCTTATTCTATCAAATTCTTTTTTGTTCTCTTATTTTGAAGTTCTGAGAATTCTGTATATTCTAAGTATGTTTTTTATATCAGATACAGTATATATATACTTTTTTTCTCCAGTTTGTGCCTTTACTTTTCATTTGCTTAACAGTGTTATTGTTGTTCAGCCTGCTCAGTCCTGACTTACTCTTTGCAACCCTGTGGACTGCAGTACGTCAGGCTTCCCTGTCCTCCACTATCTCCCAGGGTTTGTTCAAACTCATGTCCGTTGAGTTGGTGATGCCATCCAACCATCTCATCCTCTGTTGCCCTCTTCTACTGTCCTCAATTTTTCCCAGCATTAGGGTCTTTTCCAATGAGTTGGCTTTTCACATCAGGTGGCAAAGTATTAGAGTTTCCACTTCAGCATCAGTTCTTTCAGTGAATATTCAGAGTTGATTTCCTTTAGGATTGACAGGCTTGATCTCCTTGCAGTCCAAGGGACTCTCAGGTGTCTTCTCTAGTACCACAATTTGAAAGCATCAATTATTCAACACTCAGCTTTCTTTATGGTCCAAATCTCACATCTGTACATGACTACTGGTAAAACCAACAAAGGTCCATCTAGTCAAAGCTATGTTTGTCCAGTAGTCATGTACGGATGTGAGAGCTGGACTACAAAAAAAGCCGAGCACTGAAGAATTGATGCTTTTGAACTGTAGTATTGGAGAAGACTCATGCGAGTCCCTTGGATTGCAAGGAGATCCAACCAGTCCATCATAAAGGAAATCAGTCCCGAATATTCATTGAAAGGACTGAGGCTGAAGCTGAAACTCCAGTACTTTGACCACCTGATGTGAGGAACTGACTCATTGGAAAAGATCCTGATTCTGGGAACGATTAAAGGTAGGAGAAGGGGACACGAGAGGATGAGATGGTTGGATGGCATCACCAACTCAATGGACATGCATTTTAGTTAGATCTGGGAGTTGGTGATGAAGAGGGAAGCCTGGTGTGCTGTGGTCCATGGTGTCGCAAAGAGTCAGACATGACTGAGAAACTGAACTGAACTAGTAAAACCATAACTTTGACTATATGGACCCTTGTTGGCAAAATTATGTCTCTGCTTTTTATTACACTGTCTAGGTTTGTCATAGATTTCTTCCAAGGAGCAAGTGCCTTTTAATTTCATGGCTGCAGTCACTGTCTGCAGTGATTTTTGGAGCCCAGGAATATAAAGTCTGTCACTATTTCTACTTTTTCCCTTATCTATTTGCCATGAAGTGATGGGACTAGATGCTATGATCTTAATTTTTTGAATATTGAGTTTTAAGCCAGCTTTTTCACTCTCCTCTTTTACTTTCATCAAGAGGTTCTTTAGCCCTCTTCTCTTTGTGCCATTAGAGTGGTATCATCTGCGAATCTGAGGTTATTGATATTTCTCCCACCAGTCTTGATTCTAGCTTGTGATTCATCCAGCCCAGCATTTCACATGATGCACTCTGCATATAAGTTAAATAAGAAGTGTAACAGTATACAGCCTTGACATACTCCTTTCCCAATTTGGAACCAGTCCATTGTTCCATGTCCGGTTCTAACTATTACTTCTTGTCCAGGATACAGGTTTCTCAAGAGGCAGGTAAGGTAGTCTGGTATTCCCCTTGTTTTAAGGATTTCCCACAATTTGTGTGATCCACGCAGTTAAAGGCTTTACCATAATCAATGAAGCAGATGTTTTTCTGTTTGCTTCTTCTATGATACAACTGATATTGGCAATTTGAGCTCTGGTTCCTCTGCCTTTTCTAAATCCACTTGTACACTTAGAATTTCTTGGTTCACATACTACTGAAGCCCAACTTGAAGGATTTTTAGCATTACCTTGCTAGCATGTGAATGTGCCCAATTGTGCGATAATTGAAACATTCATTGGCATGGCTTTTCTTTGGAACTGAAATGAAAACTGACCTTTTCCAGTCCTGTGGCCACTGCTGAGTTTTCCAAATTTGCTGACATATTGACGGCAGCAGTTTGATAGCATCATCTTTTAGGATTTGAAATAACTCAGTTGGAATTCCATCATCTCCACTAGCTTTGTTTGTATTTGGGCTTCCCTGGTGTCTCAGTTGGTAAAGAATCTGCCCGCAATGAAGGAGACCCAGGTTTGATCTCTGGGTCAGGAAGATCCCCAGGAGAAGGGAATGGCCACCCACTCCAGTATTCTTGCCTGGAGAATTCCATGGACAGAGGAGCCTGGCAGGCTACAGTCCATGGGATCACAGAGTTGGACACGACTGAGTGACTAACATTATTCTGTTAGGTCATTGCTGCTTCTGTCCTTTACGTTGCCCATCTTATCTTTGCATGAAATGCTTAACAGTGTAATTGGCACCGTTTAGATTTGTCATATATGGTGGTGTTAGAAAGCACACTCTCTGCTGTGAGAATGTCAGGAAGGATTGAATCCTGGCCCTGGAACTGGACTGGGTATTTTAAGTCACAAGATCCTCCTCAAAAATGCCTTGCCTCATACATTTCTTGTTTTCTTATGGATAACCAGAAATTTTATATGAATACAAACTTGAATGTTCACTAACACAGCTGGTAAAACGAAATATTTGGAGAGGGAATTTATAGATGATTCTAGAAACAAAAGTCACTAGAGCTCAATAGTTCTCCATAACTTCTGGATTTCTATATACGTTTGTTAGTTGGCACCTGTGTCTTCTAAATTAAAGGGTAGCCCAAAGGAATGTTTTCATATAATTATGTAATTGTCTTGTTATCTGGACTAAGTTAGCAGTACTAATTTCTCTTATTGCTGTAGTCGTTTCATATAAAATAATTAAAATTGAGAAAAATCAAAATCATTGGTAGTGTGTGCTCTCTGTTTGAAATTAGGTACACTTTAATGCACCTGCGCAGTGTTTACAAAATGGTGATACTGACCTTGAATGGTTGGTCTGTTCTCTGCCAGCATGCCTTGTGAGATAATTAAATGTATGTTAATGGAAAAGGATGCAACATGAACTTTTTATAAATGTCAGCATTGTGAGCGAATAAACTAAATACTTGGCTAGTCAGATTTACATCACTAATAATATATGAACACGATAATGAGATTTCTCATGTGACTGTTCATTATAACAAAATTTGGAACTCTGAGCTATCACAATACAGCTTCAGATAAGCCCCTCTGGGGAGCAGTCATAAACTAAATGAACTGTGTTTATCCATTTAAGCTTGACTATTGTATTTTCTTCAATTATTCCATTAATAATATCTAAAAATGTATGATGGCCTAGAAATTTGGAGGAGAAAAATGATTAATTTAGGGGACAGCTTTGCTTTCTTTACTACCAGTAAAATTAGATAAAAGCTTGTTTTTCATTGTATGTTTTAATAGGAAAATGTTCCATCATAGCACATGTTTTTCTCATTAGACAAAGAGTTCTAAATCTTAGATTCGTAGTGTTTGCAGTCATTTTCCCTTAGCATTGGAGTCAGTAATTTGCCCACTAAAGGTAGGAGCTTTAGAAGTCAGGGCAGCGGCAGGATAGGTCAGAATGACCGCGTGTTCCCACACACACATGGGAGTCAGGAGATCCAGTCTTAGTCCCGTCTTCTTTAGCTGGAGCTGTTGGAGTGATGGTCAAGCAGTCTTTGCGTGTTTTTCTATCTGTCAGATGAAGAAAAGAATTCTTCCTAAGTCAATATCAGATAGTAAGTGAATGCTTTGCCAAGACCTATATGGTATGTTTAATGGTAGATTTTTTTCCAAAAAAGGTGTTTAACATGTTAAGCCATTTTGAAAGTACAGTGATATCCAAAGAGCTCTGTAGTTGATCCTTCTTTTAACACCACAGCTGTGCCACGTTTAAATAGTGGGTTTGCACATCTACCTTCTTAGAGGAGAGCAGTCTTGCATTTCAAGTCAAAAGTGAGAAAGTAGTATTTACATATATATATACTATCCTGTGTTAAAAAGATGGCTAGTGGGAAGTTGCGGTCTAACATCGGGAGCCCAGCCTGGCTCTCTCTGACTTCCTAGAGAAGTGGGATGGGAGAAGGGAGGGAGGCTCAGGATGGGGGAAGTATATGTATGACTACTGACTCGCATTGTCCTGCAGAAACCAGCACAAAGATGTGAAGTAATTGTCCTCCTTTAAAAAAATTTAAAAAGGAAACGGAAAGTGGGTTTTGCTAGAGATGTAAAGAAAGAGGAGTTAAGAACATGAGCTCCTTTATCTCAGGTCCAGGCCTAATCTTTTTCACTAGCGTTTTACCCACCACACTTATCTTCTTCCTGCAAGTCTCTTTTCTTCTATTCTTGTCTCTTCTCTCCACACCCAACTTTCTTTTTTTTTTAGTATCTCTCTTAGACCAAGGCGAGTGAGGGGGGACATGATGAGTTCTGTACCTGTAAGGACTGGCATCTTGATGTTTATGGAGAATTTAGTGTACGTGCACAGAGAACATAAAACTACGTAACTGTGTCCTGAGAGCAGGTGATCAGCCACTTCTGCCCTATGGGCTGTGGTTCTGTGTGTGTGTCCTTAATCCCACCCATCTCTGTTGCTCTGGAATGACAGATGTGTTTACAACATTATTCTTAGAGTCAAAAAAGGTTATATATAAATGTAGCGTCTGACCGAATTTTAAGTTTTTGGTGTCTCACTATGTTTATTTCTAGGACAGGAACGTTTTGGCAACATGACTAGAGTATATTACAAAGAAGCTGTCGGTGCCTTCGTTGTCTTTGATATATCGAGAGGTTCCACGTTTGATGCTGTTTTAAAATGGAAAAGTGATCTGGATAGTAAAGTACATCTTCCAAATGGCAGCCCTATTCCTGCTGTCCTTTTAGCTAACAAATGTGACCAGAAAAAGGACAGTGGCCAGACTCCTTCCCAGATGGACCAGTTCTGCAAAGACCATGGCTTCACAGGATGGTTTGAAACCTCTGCAAAGGTGAGCTCTGCTGTGTGTTTGAATCTGCTCTGTAGTTAACTCGTACATCTGACCTGAAACTGTAAAGAATTTAGATGGATTTACCCGAGTGGTTTTCGGAAGCCTGGATATGTTACAGCTTATTTTAGTCAGCAGCAGGGATGCTTTCAGAATTGGCTAGTAGGGAGGTGACTAGAAGGGCAGATTTTACATTAAAATAAAAATCAATATTATTTGAGCAAAGAACAAATGACATTTTCTGTGAGTTTTGATTCCTTAAACAAAGTACTTTTCATACACCCTGGAGTTTATGGGGTATGAAGTATATTGTCAAGCGCAACTAATTTTGATTTTTACAGAAGACTTAACAAAATGTAGGGACATAGATGTCCTTAGTGAAGATGTAAGTCATGGGCAGGACAAAGACATTGAAAACGTCAGAGAGAAGATGTATTCAGATGATGATGGAGGAATTTTAGATCAAATGTATATGAAAAATTTGAGCAAAAGGAAAGCATCAACAATTGTGACATATTTCGTCATGAACAGTAGAGTAAGATGTTGTTCTTTCAACCATAATGGAAAACTGGATAAAATATTTTTTGAAGAAAAATACAGATTGGCTGATGAAAATCTTAATAGTCCAGATATACTGGAAAGCAAAGGTGAAAATCCCAAACACAAAATATTGTGCTGGAGTGTGTTTATATGCATTGAAAGTTTCACTTTAGAGGTCCAATAACAATCAGATGTGGAAGGATGATGAAACATTGGTGAAATTCTGTGATGATGACAAACTCAAACCCAAACTGATTTAATTTTAACACAGTTTTAGCTTTTAGTTTACTTCAGTGAGTTTCTTATGTATAGAAAGGATTTAGATGGATTTACCAGAGTGGTTTATATATATATATATAATATTTTTTTTTTTCTCCAAATCACCTACTTACCAAGTTCCTTTTAGCTTTACTAGAAACCCACCCTAAAAGTGGAAGATTATTTGCTACCACTGAAGATGAGAATAATGAAAGCAAACCTATGCGAGACTACACAAAATGTGCTTTGAAAATATTGTGATGGAGGGGTCATTAGGAAGGATAGTGTCTGCTAGAGGCAGAAGTGTTTACTTCTAAGCTAAAGGCTATTTATTATATAATCTGCTCTATTAGAAATTAAAATTTAGTTTCATATTTAAAAAGTAGTGGTGGAACATAGATGAAGCCCAGAGGCATACTGCATGAGCACTCAGCCAAACAGAAAGGAAGAGATTGCAGAAGGGACAGCTTTTCATAGAGGCACTTGTTCTGGGAGCCATGCCCTCTGTCTTCTCTCTGCATCTGTCAAGGGATTTGCTTTACTTCCCAGCTTTGTTGGAAAAAAAATTAGTGGTGTGTGTAAATGTTTACTAGAGCAAGAGATTTGATAGAGAAGATGAATGTATTACAGATAAAAATTCCTCTTTTTTTTTAAATTAATCATTAAGGTAATAAATCCGAATTTCTCCCCAGTACCTAGATGGAAGATTCATAAACAATAGCATCATGTGGCATATCGCCAGAGACTGTGTAAGTCATCAGCTTCGTTATATGTATAGACAGGGTAGCTTGTAGAGGTAAAAAGGAAAATATTCATATGTTCTGTGCCTTCCTAAAAATATACTTCCTAGAGATTTCCTTAGTGATGAGTATTTCAAGAGAAATATACTATAAAATTTTGGTTAAAATTTTTAGTCAAGGCTTAAAGTACTGCCTACATGCCACTAACACCTCTGATTCTCAGCTGGCCAGCAGTTAGCTTCAAACTGATTTCTGCTAGACTTCCAGGGATCTGAATTTCTGATGGGAACACAGCCAAAAGGCAAGTTTAAATTCATGAGCTTCATCTCTTCACCTCTATGGCAAATAATGGATTTCCAATATGAAAATGTCTGACTAATTACACTATAGCATGGGACTTTCTGTTCTTAATGAGTTACAATTAGATGCAGTTAGAGAATGTTTTAATTATTTGGTATAATGGGAATGGTGGAGACCGAGGGACATTAGGGCATTTAAAGATCAATAATTTAATTAAAGTTTATACTTACCTTAGGAGTAGAGATAAAAAAAAAAACTTGTGTTGGTGCTAGAAAAGATACCTGAATAAATACCAGAGGTCTTTACTTCTCAGACAGAGTTCTCACTGTCTGAGAAAGTTACAACAAATAAGGGAGACGCCTAGAATGAACCTTGTGGTTTTGGGTTGGAATTGGAAAGGTCCATGTGAACTTAACGTTTAACATATATATACACATACATATATATAAATCCTGTGTTTATGTGTATATATGTGTGTGTACATATATACACATGCACATACATGCACACATACACACATATACGTATAAACAGATAAACATAGAAGCAGATACCAATGTATGTATTGCTGTTCAGTCACTTAGTCATGTCTGATTCTTTGAGACCATTTAGATACAGCACACCAGGCTTCCCTGTCCTTCACTATCTACTGGAGTTTGCTCAAACTCATGTCCATTGAGTCGATGATGCCATCCAACCATCTCATCCTCTGTCGTCCCCTTCTCTTCTTAGCCTCAGTCTTTCCCAGCATCAGGGTCTTTTCCAATGAGTGGCTCTTCACATCAGATATCAAAAGTATTGGAGCCTCAGCTTCAGCATCAGTCCTTCCAATGAATATTCAGGGTTGATTTCTGTTAGGATGGACTAGTTGGATCTCCTTGCAGTCCAAGGGACTCTTAAGAGTCTTCTCCAGCACCACAGTTCAAAAACATCACATATTTCCTGGGTGTGTTTGCTGAAGATGTTTAGAAGCCATAACGACACAGAATTCATGAGTTTACAAGTCCTCAGAATCTGGTTTTTAAGTACAATTATCCAGTAACTAGTGGAACAAGGAAAGTAAAGATGTGCCTGAGGTATTCTATGGTGCCAGAAGCTAAGGAAACAACACAGTGATGGAAACATGTCAAAAACACACAGGTGCCTGCTTGTAGGAGCTCCAAAATCTAAGACAGTAGATTGAATAACAAAGGAAATAATTATTGTAATGGACCTAATCCATAGAATAAAGTAATAATCCATGACATGAACAAACAAGTGACTAAATGGGAGAGAATAGAAAAAACTCTTCCTAACTGTAGAATTCCAAATCATAAATGAAGAAGAAATGATGGAGATAGAAAGTCACCATTAAATATAACAGTAATACTTGTTCCAGGGAAAAAATTAACTGATGTCAAAATGAGTAGGGAAAGGTAGGGTGAAAAACAGGGTATTTATACAGTTGTACTTACTAAGTGCAAAGTGAAAAATAGCCCCTTTTCAGTGGAGAAGCCTGGCAGACATGAGCTCAAGCAAGTGTGCCTCCTCAGGCGCTGAAAAGAGTACATTGTGCTTAGTCGCTCAGTCGTGTCTGACTCTTTGCAGCCCCATGGCTCCTCCGTCCATGGGATTTTCCAGACAAGAGTAATGTAGTGGGTTGCCATTTCCTCCTCCAGGAAATCTTCCCGGCCCAGGGGTGGAACCTGTGTCTCTTGTATTGCCAGGCAGTTTCTTTAGCACGGAGCCACATGGGAAGTTCATAAGTATATGTTTACATATTTTCCACAATAGCTTTAGAAATGTCTAACAGCTCCTACTACCTGTCCTTTGTAAATAAGTACAGTTTTTGCTATGTGTTACTTATTATATGTGCAATGAGAGCATATGAATCAGTCACACAAATATGATGGCCGGTGATTGCTTAGAGCATCCTTAACATCTCACCCACAACATTGTTTCAGTTCAGTTTATACACATCAACTAAAAGTCATAATTTGCAGCCATGGGTGAAGTGATATGCTGCATTTATCATTTTTTAATGTGGTTTGAACCCTGTCACATTTTTTTTCCACAAGGTATCCCAAATACTGGAAGTAGATGTCAAGAACAAATTATCGAGTCTTGTTTTGATATCTGTAAAGTAAAAAGTGAAAGTGAAGTGGCTCAGTCGTGTCTGACTCTTTACAACCCCATGGACTGTAGCCTACCAGGCTTCTCAGTCCATGGGATTTTCCAGGCAAGAGTACCAGAGTGGGTTGCCATTTCCTTCTCCAGGGGATCTTCCTGACCCAGGGATCGAACCTGGGTCTTCTGCATTGCAGGCAGATGCTTTACCCTCTGAGCCACCAGGGAAGCCTTTTTCTATCTGTGCTTTCACTTATGTGGCTGGCAACCTAGAGCAGGATGAAGATTCATGTTCAACCATGGAGACAGTTCACTGAACCTCAGTGCCAAAGTTTAAAACATTAAAAAACAAGAACATCAGAAAGAGGGATCTTTGGTAGGAAGAAGAGGGTTCCCTAGACCTGTTAGGCAATAGTATGGACTCTCAGCAAACAGTCTTAGTATCGGAGCAGGAGATGGAGCTGTCCTTACAGTGCCCTCTCTGACACTCTTTCCTAGTTCCTAGCAATACTCTTAATGCTTTCCTCTAAGAATTAATCCTCGTTTCTGCCCTGTAGGATAATGTCAACATCGATGAGGCAGCCCGGTTCCTGGTGGAGAACATTCTTGCCAACCACCAAAGCTTCCCTAACGAAGAAAGCGATGGCAGAATTAAACTGGACCAGGAGACTGTGAAAAAAGAGGGCAAGACCCAGTGTTGCTGACTTGGTGTCTGCTTCTGTCCTGCGGGCTCAGCCTGACTGATTGGAAGCAAGGTCCTGAAACTGGATTACACATGGTGGATGCGCTGCTCTATAAATCTGCCCAGGGCTGCGCCTGAAAATGGATGACGCCACCCTGGGAGCCTGAGACTTTCTGAAACGGACCCTGGCCGAGGAGTCCTGCCAATGGCTCCACCCCTTCACTCTGAGCACTTAGGTTTCTACTGTTGCCATCATATTCAGGATAATGTTTACGTCCTTCTCAACAACTTTTAAAATAACAGTTGCTCAGTATCTGTTAAGACTTACAAGTTGTGACTTTCAGTGTGAAAGCTGGGTGGTAATAAACTTTCCCTGCAGCCTCACTGTAGTTTCATGAGTCTATATTTTTGTCCCATCCTCATATTTGAGAGAGGCTTTTGGACTCTCAGGGCTTCCCCTGGTGGCTCAGATGGTAAAGAATCTTGCCTGTAATGCAGGAGACCCGAGTTCAACCGCTGGGTCAAGCAGATTTCCTTGGAGAAAGGAATGGCTACCCACTCCAGTGTTCTTGCCTGGAGAATCCCCATGGACAGAGGAGCCTGGTGAGCTACAGTCCATGGGGTCGCAAAGAGTCAGGCACGACTGAGCGGCTATCACTTTCACTATCACTTTAGACTCTTAGCCATGGAAAGCTGGAAGTTTCTGTTTAGCAATCTATTTTTCTAGCCAGAACTTTGGTACTTCACGTAAAATTGTTATCCTGAAAATATTATAATTTAACTAGCCCTGGCTAGTGTAGCATGTGGTTAATCCCCTTAAGCACCTTGAAATCCCCTCCTAAGGACTCAAAAGAAGCACATTCGCCACCCTGGCTTTCTGATTTGGTTGCTACCAGTTGGAAACGATATAAATGGACATCTCTCCTCTCTCCTTTGTCAGTTCTCTCCTCTCTTCTTTCTGTGTGTTTGTTGATAACTAAAAACTCAATTGACATTATTGTTGCAGTGCTAACTAGTCCTTTCAAATCTGTAATAATGCTTTAGGAGAGCATTTATTTCTAAGTAAGTGTGTACAATTAAGATTTCTACAGCAGGCATTGTGAAAGAAATTGGGTCACATGTGGTTTTACACAAAGTTTTGAACATTTAAAATATAGTATATGAAAAACTTAAAAGTAGGGTCACAATATTGGTATTGTCATTTAACCCAATTCAGGAAAAGAATAAATGTTTTGACTGAAACTTTTGTTTTGAATTCATGTAGTTATAGAAAGGTCATTTGGTGTCTACTTTTCTGCCTCAGAAAAGTCTGTGTCTGTTACTTTTGCCTTTATTTTTCTTTTGCCCTTTATTTTTAAGGGAGTTGATATCATGTGAAAGGTTCAACTTATCTCTTTCAAAGGAAATTTAAAGGTTATCTGTGACATCCCAAAACCAGTGCACAATGAGGCCTGTATATTAAGCTTGAGCTCAAATAGGAAAGATCTATACATTTATTTAGCAGGGGGGAAAAAACCAGCAAATTGCATTTGCTCTGACAGGTGTATCCTGAGAATAAGTAGTCCTTGTTGTGAGTGGTAAAATGTAGCTTGCTCTTCCGTGTTAAACCTGAGCCTTGGCTAGGAATTACCAGTGGGTTTATATGTTATATATTTAAGTAAATCACATCCTTAACCTCTTTGGACAAGTATTCTTTACAGAATCAGATTTTCCTTAGGCCAAGGAATAGAAAGCAGACCCTGATTTAAGTAACACTACTTAGTTAATACCACCCTTAAATCTTCCTGTCTAGGAAACATACGTGTCATACTTTAAATAAATTTTTTTGTAGTCTAGGCACAAAGTTCAACTTTTTAAGCTTTCTTAAATTCCAGAGTCCAATAGTATAAGTGTTATGAAATATTCATGCCAAAACCAAAACATTAGCAATATAAAACTTATTCTAGACAGTCACTGAAGTCTGCTTGGAATATTCTTTTTTCATATATTGATTTTTATTTTTTACAGGAAATTCATCATATTTAAATTGATTTAGCAGTAAATTCAAAATCATGAGTATAGCACTTTCTTTGCCCATTTTCACCATATTTGTTTTCTTCTCTTAGAATAATTTTAAAGATTCAGTCAATTCAGTCACTCAGTTGAGTCCGACTCTTTGCAACCCCATGGGCTGCAGCATGCCAGGCTTCCCTCTCCATCACCAACTCTCAGAGCTTGCTCAAACTCATGACCATCGAGTTGGTGATGCCATCCAACCATCTCATCCTCTGTTGTCCCTTTCTCCTCCTGCCTTCAATCTTTCCCAGCATTAGGGTCTTTTCAAATGAGTCAGCTCTTCACATCAGGTGTCCAAAGTATTGGTGCTTCAGCTTCAGTATCAGCCAGCCCTTCCAATGAATATTCAGGATTGATTTCCTTTAGGATTGACTGGTTTGATCTCTTTGCTGTCCAAGGAACTCTCAAGCATCTTCTCCAACACCACAGTTCAAAAGCATCAATTCTTTGGCACTCAGCTTTCTTTATGGTCCAACTCTCACATCTGTGCATGACTACTGGAAAAACAATAACTTTGGCTAGATGGACTTTTGTCGGCAAAGTGATGTCTCTGCTTTTGAATATGCTATCTAGGTTTGTCATAGCAAGTGTCTTAATTTCATGGCTACAGTCACCATCTGCATTGATTTCGGAGCCCAAGAAAATAAAGTCTGTCACTGATTCCATTGTTTCCCCATCGATTTGCCATCAATCTTTTGAAGATTGATAGCACCTTAAAAAAATTGCTTTTCTGCAAACACGCAGGGTATGTCAGTGTGAGGTAGTTTTCTATTTATTATTCCATACACTGTAGAAGTAAAACTGAGTAATTTTTTTTGCTTTACTCCTAAATTCTCAGTTTAATTTGTTTTTGCAACTTATACATGAAACTTGAATTTAGGGTGTCAGGGAAATGAAAGATGCTCTCCACCCTTTCTAGGTTCTTCTGGCTGGTCTAAGAATTAACTGACATGAGACATTAATAAGAAAAAGTCAAATTCAACTGTATACAAACAGAGCCCCACAGGAAAAGGAAACCCAGGGGCTGTTTAGGAAATTGGGGCTTATCTACCATCTGAGAGAAAGAAAAGAGGGTGAGGGTTGTGATTTCAAAGGGAAGGAAAGCAGTTCATGGAGGTGGAAAAACAAATGTTTGGTAAACAAGTGTTGCTTTGCCAGCAGAGAGAGTGACACATAGGGTACTCGGGTCTCCAGGCCCTGCTGAGTGCCCCCGCACCACACTGACCCAAGTTTTTTGTATATTTCTCTGGTGACTGTGCTTCCTGAATCAGACCTTTTATCTAAATCCTTTTAGGCAGTTAAGGTGGAGGTGAAAAAAAAAAACAAGACTTCCTGAGTCTAGGGTTTCTTAAAAATAATCAGTCTGACCTAATCCTCATGTCAAAGACATATTTGGGGGTGGAAAATTTTGCTCCCCTACAAGGGTAAGCTGCATAAATGATTAAAAGAAAGAAGAGAATACTTTGAAATTCCTTATTCACTTAATCGCTAATTGAAAATGCCTGAGCTCTCTTCAGGTTTAATTTTCTGAGGATAGCGCTCAGAAATCTGCTTTAAAAAAAAAAAAGTGGTGATGTTCATTTTGAAAACATTATCAATTGGATAGCAATAGTTAAAGTGTAATTTAGTTTGATATCTATGGTTTGACATGAACCATGAACATGCCCAAAATATAGCACTTGCATTTCTATTTATAAATTAGTGTTGCTTGAAAGTCTGAACCCCTTTAACAGTGGACCAGCAGAATAAAGTCGCTTTCATCCACTACAGAAAATGGAGACCTAACGGTTTTGAGAGGCTGGACTAATCTACAAGTAATGTAGCCATTTGGAAAAAGGAAGTCATATCTCTGTTCCTACCTTTATTATACTGTTCCCTAAAATGATACAATCTGTAAATTAATAACATAAGTGTGAAACAAGAAATAAAACTACAAAAGCTTTAGCATGTATGAAAAAAAAATTGACATTGGGCTAAAGAAAATCCTTAAATCTTCATATTCTTTGAGCCAAAGAGGAAAACAGATGTTTTTTGTTACAGTAATATATCTTGGATAGCAAATAATGTAAGTAAAATTATAGCAAATATAGCAAAGAAAATATTTTCAACTTGGACAAGGATTAACAAACTGGATAATAATAGTAAAAATTCTAGAAGACAATGAGTAAAAATGAGCAAATAATATAAAACCAGGACTTAGAGTGGAGAAGGCAATGGCACCCCACTCCAGTACTCTTGCCTGGAAAATCCCATGGGCGGAGGAGCCTGGTAGGCTGCAGTCCATGGGGTCGAGAAGAGATGGACTCGACTGAGCGACTTCACTTTCACTTTTCACTTTGATGTATTGGAAAGGGAAATGGCAACCCACTCCAGTGCTCTTGCCTGGAGAATCCCAGGGACGGTGGAGCCCGGTGGGCTGCCGTCTATGGGGTCGCACAGTCGGACACGACTGAAGCGACTTAGCAGCAGCAGCACTTAGAGAAGAGACAATTCATGTGTCAAATCTTAATATCCAGGAAAATTAGCAAAAACTGTATGAGTTTGACCATATCCCTGATCTGGATGAACATACAGGATATAGATATTCACAATCCACTGTTAACTAGATTTGATAGACACCTCCAAGTTTTTCTTCCTGTTTGCTGTTCACTGTAGACTCTTAGTACCACATCTTGCCTAGAAGTGGAACTGCTATTGTTAGGGAAAGTGAATTAAGAACAAAACCTCCTCCCAACCCAGAAACCCCTCCACAAAGGTAGAACAGAAAGAAAGCAGTTATTATTGAATAAGCATGAAACTAGAACATGCTCATCACAGGCAATATGCTAAGTGACTGTAAAGACAGAAAAGAATTTTACCCTTTCACATAGATAACAGATCCAACTCATTCCATGGTGTTCTCAAAGTATGCAATAATTAGTCCTCAGGCAAGAGGGCTTATCAGCCCCATTGGTCACACATATTGAA